TGTATCTGCACTTCTAACATCTTTCCAGTATACCCACTGTCCCTCCTCTGGACATGTCCAAACCATCTCAGTCTGGCCTCGTTCAATCTGTGCTGTACCCCTAAACTTCTCTTTCTTAACTTTATCCATCTTTGTCACTCCCAAGGAGAACCTCAACTTCATCTTCAGCTCTGGCACACCTTAGTCCTCTAACTGAAAGGAAACAGAGTGACCTTGACTCGGTCATGTAGCTAATTATGACAATGTTCACCAGAGTCTTTAGGACATTTTCATGTGAACTTTAATCATATTTGTGGGACTGTCATTGTTGACCCCTGGTGTTAAAAGGTCACTTTTTTAACTTTTTGTGTAATTTAACCACAATAACCTGAATATATGAGGTGGTTTGTTCCCAAAAAAGACATCCTTTCATAAATTAAGCATTGCACAAATGGATTCTGCCACAGGAAACGAAGTTAGCTGCCCCTGTAATGCCCTTCACAACGGCTCAGTAGATTTATGGACTTCAACATTTGGAGTGAAGCTATTTTAGGATGGTGAGATTGGTACTAATATTTCTGCCTCATCCAGGTCTGTGCAGCTGAGAACATATGGTTTCCTGTACGGTAAAAACCAAAGGAATAAATAACTGTGACAAATGTTTTGAGGCTGCAGATGAGCTTTGAGTTAAGTCTGATTGAGAGACATAAAAACAATGATCAAATATAAATGGTATTTTGTTCCATGAGTCATCCTTCATCTTGAATTTGTATTTTTCATTGAAGAAAATGGAAGATTTAAAAAAAAGATAACTGATTTTCTGGACGGGTTCTTCTTTAATGAAACATTTCGTCTCTCTTCCAAGAGACTTCTTCAGTCTGAGAGTTTCAGGCAAAATTCAGGCTTTTATGTCCTGCCTCCAGGTGACTGATACTCACATCACATGACCATCGTTCACCATCGAGAGGAGTAAAAGAAGCCATTTTTGTAAAGAAAGACCGTCCGTCATTAAACAGAGGTGGGGGCCTCCGTTTTCAGCTGTCCCCCTGCTACAGCGCTGCCATTGGCAGTATCACTCCACCCCCTGTTAACAAAAGGGATTAATTAGGGTGAACGATGGCCATGTGATGTGAGTATGAGTCACCTGTGAACGATGGCCATGTAATGTGAGTATCAGTCACCTGTGAGCCATAGCCAGGTGATGTGAGTGGGAGTCACCTGTGAACGATGGTCATGTGATGTGAGTATCAGTCACCTGGAGGCAGGACATAAAAGCCTGAATTTTGCCTGAAACTCTGACTGAAGAAGTCTCTTGGAAGAGAGACGAAACGTTTCATTAAAGAAGAACCCGTCCAGAGGACCTATACAATTTTTTTTTCCTTTGATTTTTTCACCTGGATTACTGAGATGCATCAGGACATAACTGATTTTGTTTTTGTGGCAGTATATAAATCAGAGGTGCCCAAAGTGGCCACCAAGCCATTTGATTTGGCCCACCAGCAGTTGTCATGTTTACTAGGTTGTAATCTGTGGTCCTATGTAGAAACACAGTATTTCCACCTAAAGTCATCCCATTTATTGGCCCAGTGACTATGTAAGGGGCTGTATTGCTGTTAGTCAACAATGTGGGCCACTGCAATGGCTGCTGGCTTAATCATTAAAAAATTTAAGTACTGTACTTAAGAAGTATTTGTAATTCATGAATTATATTATTTTATTTGGCCGCAGCCCTCGGATTTTCATTTTGGAGATAATGTTTGGGCACCCTACCCTTGTTATATGTATATAAACTGAAACAGCTAGACTAGTGCATCCTAATTTTAACATGAATTAATTATTTTAATACGACAGTCATTTCTGCATTTTTATGGGGAGGTCACCTCCTAATAAATGTCCTAACAGAAAAACAAACTAATCATTTTAAATCAATACTTTTACTTTTAATACTTAAGTACGATAAATATCAGATACTTTAAGACTTTTACTCAAGTAATATACCTAAAGGAGGCTTTAACCTTTACCAAAGTAATTTTTTGGTAAGATACTTGTGCTTTTAAAATGGTAAATGGACTGTACTTATATAGTGCTTTTCTATCCATCCAGGACACTCAAATCTCTTCACACTACAATCTGTGTCCTCATTTACCCATTCACACAGCACTCTATTAGGTCTCTACAAAGCTAACATATACAATCATCTGTGGAGACTAGGGTTGGGCAATATTGGCAAAAAAATAATCACGATTAATTGTGGTATTTAGCTGATAACGATTAATTGGACGATTAATCCCTTGGAGTCCCTGGACACACTTATTTTGTAGTCACATGACCAATTTAGTGGGAAATATTTGCTCTTTGTAAGAAATTGTTCCAATTTGTGTGAAAATTACAGATTTCAGGCTATACATCAATTGTGTTGATAGATAAATTACAGAACTTCATCTTTAATGTTCTTCATATTTGATGCAGAGAGGAGCATCGAGCGGACTGACCGGGGTAATCTCTAGTCAGTCTGCCTGCCATTAATCGTTTTGTCAAGTGCCAAAAGGTAATCGATTAATGTTTTTCTGACGATTAATTGCACACGATACGATTATGCCCAACCCTAATGGAGACTAATCAGTGCCAATCACATTCATACACTGATGGGACACACATCAGAGGCATTAGGGGTGAAGTGTCTTGCCCAAGGACACAACAACTGAGATAGCTGGATGGGGGATCGAACCGGCAGCCTTCCGGTTCCAGGACGACTCCCCTAACCACTCTGCTACAGCCGCCTCAATACCTTTACTCAAGTATCACTTTGTGGTACTTTATATAACACTGTGTGTGTGTGTGTGTGTGTGTGTGTGTGTGTGTGTGTGTGTGATATTTTGGATTTGAGTTCAGAGAGCATGAAGCATGCTTTCAGAAAATGTGTCTAAATAATCGAGAAGAACTGTAATTGTGCTTAGGTGACTAAAATCTGTAGAAGTGAATATAATTATTAAAAAAATGAATTGTGCCATCAAATCAAAGTTTTGTCAGGAATGATTTTTTTATTTTCAAAAGTGACAAAAGTTATTCATTGCTGAAGGCTACAGTTCCATGTTAAAACATCAGTACAAGCTCCATTGTGATATTTTTTGTTTCAATTTTTAATTCAGTCTCTCTTACAATTGCTTTGTAGGAAATGGCTAAATGTGTCTGTCCATCAGGTTTTGCACCATTTTTTTTATTTTTTTCTAGGCGTTCTAATTATGTCTTTATCTTGTGCAGTATTTTGATCTTTATGTAGCAATAACTTGGAGTGAAATGTTAATGCTCCAAACTCTGGCCATCACATGACTCTGCCCATGTTTACAAGAGAACAGTGACTCATTCACTTACCCCAAAACCTTTGTTTATTATCTACGAGTGGTAAGATAACAACAGGATGCAACAGAGACCTTCTGTTGTTTGAGTACTGTCTAAGAACCTTTGATGTACTCAAAATGGCCGTTTATCACAAAAGAACTCAAGGTTTAACAGACACGAAGTCTGGCAGGATGGGTCTGCTAGTGAGAGAAAAGCCTTTGAAGCTGGATTTCCTGCTGAGTTTTATTACATACATTTGCATCAAAGACACGTCTACATACCATCTCATTTACGGTATCACAGCGTCCCCAAAAGACTGGTTTTATAATTACACCACTGATGTATGTTCTCCTGTATTTCTCATTCTGATATAAAAGAAAAAAAAGAGAATCATTGTATGCCCTACATGACTCAATCATGTGAACAATGTACTTTAATCACTTCACAAACTATCTTATTTCTCTGTGTGTTTGTAATCAATTCCAGTGACGAAAGTCTGTGAAAAGAAAGAAAGGTCACGTGATCATTACCAACCAATCATGAGTGTCAGAACCAGGACAATAGGAGTTTTAGTTTCAGCAAGGGAGTCAGAAGAAAGTTGATGAAGAGAGATGATGAAGGAAGAAGCAGCGTGAAAG